AAGCATGTGAAATGAAGTCTCGCCATCCTTGCTTCCAAGGAGCGTTCTGGCCGTACTTCTTCTAAGACAGGTTTGTTCACTCTTCTAGCAGTCCATGGTATGTTCAGTATTCTTCATCAGCACCATAATTCAAATGCATCAGTTCTTCTTCGATCTTCCTTATTCACTGTCCAGCTTTCACATGCATGTGAGGCGATTGAAAACACCATGGCTTAGGTCAGGCGCAGTTTCGTCCTCAGAGTGACATCTTTGCTTTTCAACACTTGAAAGAGGTCTTTTGCAGCAGATTTGCCCAATGAAATACATCATTTGATACCTTGACTGCTGCTGCCATGGGCGTTGACTATGGATCCAAGTAAAATGAAATCCTTGACAACTTTTGTCTTTTCTCCATTTATCATGATGTTGCTTATTGGTCCAGTTGTGAGGATTTTTATTTTATTTATGTTAAGGTGTAATCCATACTGAAGGCTATAGTTTTTGATCCTTTTTCCCTAGAGTAACCTATTTTACTTTCCTGTTTACCGTAAGGGAGTTTTTCCTCCCAGTACCTTGTCTTTTTAGCCTCTGTCACACGTTTTCATTAATTTCTAATTAGGTATTTTAAATTCCTACAATTTGTGGCTATTCCTTTTCTGAAATTTAGGTACATTAAATTTAGGCATGCTTTTTTTTGTTTTGGTTTGGTTTCTGGTTTTTGCCTGTCCTGCCAGTCTATTGCTCTTGGTATGGGGGCGTTGCAGATGTTGCAGTTCTTTTCCCCTCTAATGTTTTGGGCACCTCAGCTTTCCTTCACTTCCTCTTAAATGTACCATAGCAGTTAGCTCCTTGCTGTCCTTCACAGGTTTCACTAAGAGCTTTCCTCTGTGTGTCACCTGGTCCGAACCTAGACTAATTCTTCCAGACGCTTAAGGTCCTCACATTCTTCAGTTGGGAAATTACATGCATAGCTTCGGTTATTTGAATCGCCCAAGTCAGAGGGCTGAGACCTGGGATTATGGAAAACAACCTCCTGTATAACCCAGGATGTAGACAGATGGCCCAGGTTACTTTTGCCCTTCTGTGTCAGTTCTTGAAGTTCCCACTAAGCTTACTGTGTACATTTCAAAGCACCCTTTACTATCAACCCCAGGTGGATTCTTGTGGATTATTTAGTTTTCAAGTACAGTGGAGATGTTCAAGCCCCAGGAAGTTCATAATTGTTCCCTTTGGTGGCAGATGAACCAGCAGCGTAGAAGTGGGGAGTGTATGTATCTGAACATTCCTTCTGCATTTTCCTCTCTAGGCATCTCTCCCCAGATAGAGGTCACCTGTGTCCCCACTCCCACAAGCACAGTGTCCTCCATAGGTAACACAAACGGAGAAGAGGTAGGACCATCCGTCTACTTGGAAAGGCTAAAAATCCTCCGACAGCGATGTGGTCTCGACAATACAAAGGTACTGCTCCTTTCTTCTGTGTGGGCCTGGGAGGGCAGTGACAAGGCAGGTCAGGCGCGCTGGCCCGCAGAGAGGTGGCTCAGTCTTGGTATATGTTGTTCTGGAGCTGCTTCTTGACCTGCTTAATGTCTCTTCTTCTCTCAATAGCAAGATGACCGACCTCCGTTGACCTCTTTGCTCTCCAAACCAGCAGTTCCTACCGTCGTCTCCTCCACAGACATGCTCCACAGCAAACTCTCTCAGCTCCGGGAGTCACGGGAGCAGCACCAGCATTCAGACCTGGATTCTAACCAGACTCACTCTTCAGGAGCCATGACCACATCTTCCTCCTGCACAGCAAACATTGATGACTTGAAAAAGAGACTGGAAAGAATAAAGAGCAGTCGCAAATGAAGCTGCCCCATTCCCCTGGCAGCCTGCAGCTTTAGTGTACTAAACTAGAAGTCCTCATAGTTTAAAGTGGCCTCGGCAGGCCTAGTGTACACAAACAGGTTGTATGTATCATACTGTGGATCTGGGGGAGGAGTTGTTGTGGCACAAGCATTTGTACATACTCGGCTTCTCTCCGTCAGCATCCTGCCTCTAAAAGACTGTCTGTGTATTAGTTTAGTGTACAGACTTGTAAACAGCTGCTGTCCTCTCAGCTCAGACTAGTTTCCATATCCTTTTTCTTGTGTTTTATTTTTGATTTCTCATTTGTAAAGTTGTCCTAATCTTTCCTAGCTTTTAACTATTAGAAACTCTTTAATAGTTTTCCTTTGAGTTTGTGAGTTCTTCTCCCTGTAGCCCTGAAGGGTCGCTGTATTCTGTATGAATGCATGGCATGATACAACTAATTTTAAGAGTCTTCTGTAAATAAAGTTTGCATTAACTATACTTGTTTTCCAAAATGTCCCGTATCTTGGAGTGTTGAGGCAGCTCTTTCTGTCACCCTTTCTTGGAACAAGCTGGGTATTCAGCCAGCTATAGAAAGGTTTGTCACTGCTTAAGGAGCATCACCTTTTCCTGGCTCACACACTTGGAGCCACCTTTTTGGAATAAGAGAAACCCACCTCTCCAGCTTTTTCCCAGCTCCTAGTGGAGCAGAGAAATCTCATCCTGTTTTGAGGTTTTGTCATGACTTCTTCCTGTCATCACCACGGTTCAAGGAGCTCCTAGGCAGCTTTCACTCTCCTGTCCCCGTGCACTTGAGACTGTGCCCAGCAATTGGCTGTGCTTCAGAGGCTCTCGTACTGCAACTCGATTTGGATACATTTGACTAGTGGAGTGTGGGAGAGCTTAGGAGCTTCCTGCTTGATTTTTCTGGGTCTGTTCTGGTACAAACTAACAGTTGCTTCACATGAGAACCAGAAAGTCAACTGAGGCTTCACCTGTGGAATAAATTCCACAGGGCCTCCCTCCACAATCACAGAAACTCCCCAGCACTAAGAGGTTCTGGATTCAGGTGGGAGACTTTTTGGATAATCATAAAGTTCAAAGGAACTTTTCTAGCCCACCTTTTACACAACCGATGGTCAAGAAATGAAAGGCTGACGGAAAACAAATACCAGGCATCATTTTCAGGTGGCCCCTATGCTGCCTGAAGTTAAATTGACTCTCTCCCTTATAGTGGGAACATGGTACTGGGTATGTGTTTACTGAAGGGAAGATAGAGTTCAGTGCTTTAGTTGAAGGACATATTAGAAAGAGTGGCTGTGTGTGGCTCTGAAATTAACACAGCTAATTTGAAAAATTCCAGCTCTGACAGCTGTGTTAGAGGGAAGGATTCTTGTGAGAATGAGTGTCCTTGTTTAAAAAGCAGATTCTGGGTATTACAACTTATTCTTCAGCCCTTCCCCCTTGCTCTGGTAAAAGCTCTGGACCACCAAGGTCCTGCAAGTTCACTGAATTTTCAGTTTTTACCCTGCTTTCTAGTCAACCAGAACCAAAAAATGAGGGCAGGAACAAACTCCTAATTCTCTATTTCCTGCTGTATTAAAAAATGAGAAGGAAAATAAAAGGTAGGGGGCAAGGTTACCTACCAGTCTTAGGTCCCTTCCCCCTTTAAGCCATGAACGTTGTTGAAGATCCTAGGCCAAGAATGGTAACCTCATGGCATCCATGCTCACTCCCCCGTCCCATACCGAAGGCATTCAGTCTTCACCCCTTCCCTCTGAGCTCAAAGATGAGACTTCTCAACACAGAACTCCAAATAGTAATTATCAGTTGATCAGCATTTCACACAAGTTGAAACCATCAAACCTGTTGTAGGCTATGGTGTCTAGTTCCACCTGAGTCATAAATGCCTTTAATGGGCAGAGCTACATTTGTTGAATTGAGAACTATAGTTCTAGGGCAATAGTGGATAGGAGCCATGCGCCACACCTGACCAGTGACCTCTGACAACAGTAACCATGGAGAATGTGCTCTGCAAGGGTTATCTGTATAGTTTTATGATTCTTAAAGCTTTTAGATTTGTCTAAACCCTTTGTGAATCCACTTAACATAGCTGGTAGATCCCACTTCTTGGAAAAACAAATTGCTCAAGTTTGACAACTGCTATGTGAGTAGGAATTCTGAGCAACGACAACCCTAACCATCTGCTACTTGCAGGGGCCAGAGGAGGGAAGCAGTAAGTAGCAGAGGAACTTTCGACATGCCAGGGAGTAGTGACAGTAAAAGCAGCAGTGGCTTATGGACAGCTTACCAGGTACTAGGCATTGTGCTAAGTATTTATGTAAATTATCTCATTTAACCCACACAGCCTTATAAGGTAAGTAGCGTCATTATATACACCTTATATATAAGGAAACTAAGGCTCAGGAAGATAAGGTGACTTGACTATGGTTATCCATTAAGGTTGGAATCAGAATATGAACCCAGGCAATCTGATGCTAGGGCCCATGCTCCTAACTACTATATCCCACAATATTCTAAGATGAAGGCTTTTAAAATACTAAGACTTTTTGGGGCATAAACTTGACATCATCGTAATGACATAAGGAAGGATGTAGGGATTTACTAGAAAAATTTAAGGTAAAGAAAAAGATGTATCTACCCACCCCTCACTATAGCTGTCTTCTGCCTCTTCTCTGGTCCTAGGACAAGTGCCTTAAAGCAGAGCCACTAAAAAAGCACAGGCCTCAGCATCTCGTGACTACATTTCAAGTCCTAGATTTGCCCCTTCTTAGCTGTGTGACCTTCGGCAAAGTACTTCTTCAAACCTCAGTTTACTCACCTACCTCTTGAGAGGATAGTACCTACCCCTTGTGATGATTAAATGAGATAAAGCCCCAAGTCAAATATTTTAGGTGCTCACAAATTCAAGCTACCTACTACCCTCTCACCTGGCCCTGTCCTGGAGGTGGTGGGTTCTTTAAGTCCTTTTTACCCAGCATTACTGCAGGATCTTCCTGAGCCCAGTGCAGGGAGCTGCCCATGAACATCACCAGGAGCACTGAGGCTCATTGAGAGAGTCACTTTTATTGAGAACTATAGTTTCAGAAACAAACCACAAAAATAATTCTTTCACTGGATTGGTTTCTGTGATTTTGCAGTCAGGAGCCCAGAACATGAGTGGCCCCCTAACCTCCGAACTGATCAACGATCTTCTGTATCCACTTCTTCAGGCGGAACACATGTGTGTAGAAGCCATATTTCCCATCCCGGTCACAGCCTTCACCCCATGAGACGATGCCCATTTGATACCAGCGGTTGTTAAAGGGGCTCTGAGGCAGAAAGATGGGGTTTCCAACAGTCAAGTCCAAGGTGGCCTCCATACTACCCTGCCAGGCAGCTATTTACAAAAACGGGTCCCTCCTCACCCAACCCACCTCTAAAGATCTACCCGCCAGTCCCTGGTCTTTAGAGAAACTTACCTTCATGACAAAGGGTCCCCCACTGTCGCCTTCACAAGCATCCCCTCGTCGCCCTTCATTGGGTTTAAAACCTTGAGAGAGAACAGAAGTAGTCAGGAACATAACTCACACTCCAGAAACACAGCTGGTGAGTGTGAGTGAAAAGGACAGGGCATAAGAATTGCAGGGGGTGGGGGGTTCCTCTCTGAGTATACCTTTTTTTTCCCCAACAGTTCTGACTTTTAGAACCCTCAATGTTTTACATAGTCCAAAAACAAAAACAAGGATTGGGGTCGGGGGGAGACACTGTTGAGTACAAACAGAAACAAATGAACCTAACTGCATTTTAAATAGAATAAAAATAACCACAGGGAAGGGGGGTAGGGAAAGAACTAAAATAATTTCTGAATGCAGTATTTTGACTTTGTAACCCTCAGGCTAAAAACAAAAACAACTGTAAAGAAATGCTGAATTCTAGTTAATAGAGCTGTTTTTCATAGTAGTATAGGTGAGCGATTCTGAAACTCATTGATCAAATCAGTAAACATAATATGGGTAATGGGGGTTACGCTTCCCTCTGTCAACAGAGGGAGTCACAGATATGGAAAGGGAGAAATTAACCCTGTGGTGTTGGATTAGAATTGTTCATCAATATGAACACATGACTTTTAGTAGATGACAGATGGATAGAAAAACGCATACAGATATAGATGTATGCATAATACACATATTTCCTGCTTCTGTCCACTGAGAGGGCCTAAAAGCTATGACACTCCAGTAGCAATGTGCATACCTAGCACCCAGATTTTCGTTTCTAAATACCATTCTCCACTAGAAGTGTTTCCTGGGGAAATGGCTGATTCCAAGACAGCAGTTAGGAAAATAGGGTGAAACTGGAACATCTTGCTGTGCCAGAAAATAAAGTACTCAAAGAATGATGGGGACATACCTAAAAGTTACAAAAGCCAGCTTGAAGGGACTCCCACTGGCCAAATCTGGGATAATTTGAGCATCAAAATAAATAATACCCATTGCCATCGAGTGGATTCCAACTCATAGCAACCCTATAGGGCAGAGTAAAACTGCCCCACAGGTTTTCCACGGAGCAGCTGGTGGATTCGAACTGCTGACCTTTTTTATTTTGGTTAGCAGCCGAACTCTTAACCCACTGCTCCACCAGGGCTCCAAATTAAGTAACAATAGGAACAAATATTATATCCTTAGAGGGAGAAAAACCTGGCAATCTGCTTCCATAAAGATTACAGCCTAGGAAACCCTATGGGGCAGTTCTACTCTTTCACATGGGGTCGCTATGAATCAGAATCGACACAACAGCACCCAGCAACAACACATACATACACACACATACACAAATACGTTATATATACATATGTGTGTGTGTATATATTACATACACATACATACTTATATACAAAGAAATGGAATCTGGATGAAGGTACACAGAAATTCTTTTCAACTTTTCTGTAAGTCTGAAATTACACTAATTATACTGCATAAATAATGTAATTAATACATAATAACATAATTATTTACACTTGCCCTAAACCCTCTGATAGCTTCCCATCTCACTCAGAATAAAAGGCAAAGCCCTTCAAGGCCCTAAACAAAGCACCCATCCTCTGCCCAGCATCCTCTGCCCGCCTACCTCTCTCGCCTCACCTACAGTTGCCTCTCCTGTGTTTACTGCACTCCGGCTACACTGGCCTCCCTGCTGTTCCTCAGACACACCACGTGTGCTCCCACCTCAGGGCCTTTGCCCCTGCTGTCCCCTCAGCCTGTAATGCACCTCCCCCAGGCATGCCCAGCTCACTCCTTCACTTCTTTCAGTCTCTACTCAGACATCTCCTTCTTAGAGAGGTCTTCTGGGACCACTCTGTTTAGAAGATCACCCCGGCCCCCATCACACTCTTAACATGGCTCAGTCCCCCCACCTCGGAGTTCCTGCTGCTCCCTCCTGCCCAGCCACTCCCTTACTCTGCTTCATTTTTCTCATAGCACTTCTCTGGGCCTCAAGGTCTAGATCTGTTTATTAACATTCTCTCCTTCTAGGAAGGAAGCTCTTTGAGGACACAGACATTGTCTGTTTGAATCCCTGTTGTATACTCAGTGTCTAGAATAGTGCCTGGGTCATGGTAAGCATTCAATAAATGTTTGCTGAATGATTGAATGAATGAATGGCTTTTGCCTTCATCCCCACTCCCATGGCCTCCTCCTGCCATCTGAGCTCACATATATTAAACACTTAATTGGTGGCTAGCAGCATGCCAAAAACTACCTCTTTGAACCCTCACACAATCTTCTGGGATAGAGACTTTTATCTCCATTTTATAGAGAAAGAAACTGAGCTTCCAAGAGGTTAAGCAACTTGCCCAAAGCCATATGGCTTGTAAGTATCCGGAGCCAGGGCCTGAACCCAGGTCTGTGCTCTTAACATGGCTGTCTCCCCACCCCTGAGTCCCTTGTGCTCCCTTCTGCCCAGCCACTCCCAGGGGACTTGCCAGCACAGAACATGTTGTCCGTGATGCGGATGCGGGTGGAGGCCTTGCAGACCGGCCTCTCCACGATGGGCAGGTTCACCACCTGCAGGATACTGGGCTGCACCTCGCCAATGCTGGCCTTCCATGTCTCCTTCAGGTTGCCCCAGCCAGTCACCCGCCCTTTGTATCCAGCCTGGAGCAAGCTTTGGGGAAGGGAGAAGAGAAGGGCCTAGTGAGACCCAACCCCTCCAGGAGCTTCCTTGCTTAGAGACCTGAATCCAAAACTCCAAGGCAGGAAAGAACTTTAGGGTTTACTCCCCCATCCATTTAAGCAAGAAACTGAGATCAGAAAAGGAAAGAAACTTCTGCAGACTACAGAGTGGCAGATTCAGGCTCAGAACTCAGCCCCGTAGCTAATGGCCCTCCAGCTGCCCCACCTCGCTGCTGTCTCCCTGTCGGGCAGGCACACAGTGTGAATGTAGTCAGTGAAGGTGATGGGCTTCTTGAGCTTCAGCAGGGCGATGTCTCGATCCAGATTCTCCCTCCAGTTGTACCTGGGGTGGATGTAGATCTTCTCCAGCACGGAGATCCTCTCAGTGTACCGCTCATACCTGCACAGAGCCCAACAGAGAAAGGGAGAAGCTATAGGCCCACCCAGTGAGGGACAGCTGGCTCCCTAAGGAAACTGCCTGCTCTCAGGGCCTGGGAGTCAGGGTGACCAGCAGGTCACCAGTGAGAGGGCTGTCTCCAGCCTCCCTGGCACCGAAGGTCTTCTCCTTGGCAGCTTCTTTCTGGCCTGAAGCTGCACAGGGCTTTCCAGTCAGAGAGCCCAGGCAGACAGGGGCAGGGGCACAAGCCACATGCCCTGGCCCAAGCACCCTCTACTCGGAGACTTCCACCAAGGCCGTGTCCTTGTGTCTGGAAGGAATCTGGGGGCAGACCAGGACTTCACTGAGCAAAGTCTTCGTTTCTGTCCCCAGCTCCAAGTCTCAGTCAGGATGTGGCTAAATGGACTTCCCAGCAGGACTGGGAATGTCATATTGTGGAGGATGTACAGACATAGCCTGGACACCCCAGAGCCACCAGAACTCTTCACCGTCACTCTGAAGGACTCAACCCCTGGCAGACACCCAGGGACCCTGGTTCTGTACGTGGTGCGGAAGTGCTTCCCAAGGCGCACAACAAGGTCTTTCTCGGTGAAGTTCTTATCCCAGGGCGGGTACAGCAGGCAGTGGGCTGCAGTGAGGATCCAGCGGTCACTGATAAGGCTGGCCCCACACAGCAGCTCCTGGGGGCTCTTCCGGAAAAGCATCACCTGCCTGGGAGGGGGAGCAGGAAGTATTAAGAGCTGGGGGCTGCCTCCACCAGCCCTAGAAGTAGAAAGTCCCAGGTTTAAGAACTAACTGGGTTAGTTAGGTAGGACCCCAGATGGAACCAGTCAGCTGGGCAGACTGCCCTTGGCAACTGAAGCATCATGGGATGCTGAAGAGCTGCCTCTTGCTTTTGCACCCCCTCTCCAGCTTCTTCCAGTCCAGAGTTTGCAAAGTTTAGCACAGCTCTGGAGTCAGAATAACTGGATTCAAGTCCTGATTTTGCAACACATCAGCAGTGTGACTAAGAAAGTCGCATAAGTGCTCTGAGCCTCAGCTGCGCCATCTGCAGAATGAGAGAAGGAATACACCCAATCTTGTAGGGTTGCCGTGAGGATTAGCCCAGATGATGGATGCTCGGCTTCAGTCTCCGTGAAGCTGGGCTTGCGAGAGGAGGGAGGCCTCCCCAAGGGCTGCGGGGAGTGAGGGGGAAAGCAGCACGCCCCAGCAGAGTGCATGGGAAGCAAGGGCCCGGGACGCACCAGGGCGCAACGCCTTGCTCCGCATCCCAACCCTCCACGATGCGCCCATCGATGTAGGAATCCAGCAGCTCCTTTTCCTTCTTGTCCTCCAGCGACTTCTTCTCAAACAGAGGCCGCAGCCCACAGTCTGCAGAGCGAGCGGGCCGTGAGGGCTGGAACAGCCTCCAACCCTGCAGCCCCACAGCCCGGAGGTCCCGCGGACCGCCTCCCGCCGCCGCCTCACCTGCCTCCCCGGCGCCAAAGGTCTTTTCGTTGAAAAAGCTCTGGAACTTCCCAGTGGATGTGCGCCCTTGGATGGCCGCGTCCGAGTCCTCGCCCAGCCCGTCTCCCACCTCCTCCTCCACCGGATCGTCTGTAGGGACCCAGACACCGCTGGGGCTGGGCCGGGCCATTCCTCACCCAACTCCTCCCTCTTCCCAAGCCCCTTGCCGGCTTTGGGGGCCATTTGGTGTAGAGGTTAAGAGCTCAGGCGGACCTCAGTTTCCAGGTAACTGAACCTCCAGAGCCTTCAGTTTACTCATCAGTAAAATGGGCGTATAGCCTACCTCACTCGGCCACCATAGGATTTAATGAACGCACTCATATGCGCACGTGGAAAGCCTTAGACAAGTGGAAATGACCAGTTCTTTTGTTATTCCCTCCTGGCCTTGTCCTCCGCATCTCAGGACCCCCGCCCTGCCCACTCACCGCAGTAGTTGAGGTCGCAGTACTCAAAGTCACCAGGCTGCCCGGCCACATAGCACCATGCACCCTCCTCATCCCCGTCTGGATTCCGGCAGAAGTTCTCCACCAGCGGCACTGCCTTGCTGAAGTCCTGGTCCTTGCTCAGGGCCTTGGCCTGACTGCTGGACCAGGCTAGGCAGGCGGAGCCGTGTGTGGTCACCGCCAGGTGACCCTGGTACTGCCGGCCACGATCGGGGACACACATCTCCAATGAAGTTGAGGGCTTCACCCTGGAGCCTCCAGTGCCTTGGGTCGGTGCCACAGTGAAACCCTTCTGGCCTGGTGGGGGAGAAGGCAGGGGAGTAGAGTAGATGGGATCCCAGATGGAACTGGCAGACAAAGATTCGAATCCCTGCCTTGCTGCTTTCTACCTGTATGACCCCGGGTAACTTAACCTCTCTGAGCTTCAGTGGCTTGCTTATAAAAAGGATTACTAATGGGCTTCTCGGGAGAAAGACCAAGCGATCTGCTCCTGTAAAGATTACAGCCAAGAAAACCCTATGGGAGAGTTCTACTTTGTCACATGGGGTCACTATGAGTCAAAAATGACTCAGTGACACCTAACAACAATAATGCCATCCCTGGGTGGTGCAAATGGTTGATGTGCTCAGCTGCTAACCAAAGATTGAAGTTCCAGTCCACCCAGAAGTGCCTTGGTGATCCACTTCTGAAAAAGCAACCACTGAAAGCCCTGTGCGGAGCACAGTTCTGCTCTGATGTACATGGTGCCACCATGAGTCAGAGTCAACTCGATAGCAACTGGTTTGGTAATTTCATCCTTGCAGGGTTGTTGAGAGGACTAAACAGAATATACGGCATGAGCATTAAAGTGTCTGACCTGTAATAAGCCAGAATAGAAATCAGGTTTCTCCTCCTGGGCCATCTTGAATCTATTGGCAGTGACGGCCTAAAGTTCTGGGTTAGGAAAAGATTCTATGTTTATACAGGGGCACAGAAGAAAGATAGCTGGGATTGACTGAGGATGTCTACATGGGCAGTATGTCAATTTCAGCATACCTGCAACATACATATCATCCTGGGGGAGGAGGAAGGGCTTGGGAACTGGTAGTCAGTTTTGTTATGATGATTGATGACTATAAAACCAGTCCCACCAAGGTTGAGTAAGGATAGTGTTGATGTGTTGTGAGGTTGTTAACCATTGTCATAGGGCAACATGTGTACTAACTGTTAAATGAGAAACTATTTTGTTC